ATTTGTATAATAGGCCAAGTCAGAACAAGTCATATCATGTTGTTGTGCAGTTCTTCTAGTAAAAATGTATAAGATGTGCTGGGGTGTTTGTTTGTTTATTTGTTTGATTTTTGTTTTTTTGTTTTTTTAAGAAAAACTTTAAAAAATAGCTTTTCCACCAGACCCTGGACCTTAAGTGATTTGTGAATTTGCACAAGATATTTTAATTTTTGTTTGTTTCCCTGACATAGTGTGTCTCTCTGTGTTATTTTTATTTGTTTGTTTCTTTATTATTTAGTACAGTTCAGGGATGGACAACATTGGCAACTTTTAAGATATGTAGACTTCAACTCCCAGAATTGGCCAGCCAGCACACATCTTAAAGTTACCAAGGTTGGACACCCCTGTTTTAGTACAACTGTTGAAGATGCAAATCTCCTGGTTTAATTCAACTTTCTGCAAAAAATGACCCTGGGTTAAAACACAGCCCTGAGAGCAGAAGGTTTTCAAACTGTGGATGATCTACTTCTTTTAAAACAAGAGCTGGACTTAAATATGGATTTGGGGCATGCCAAGCATATGGTTTCTATTAAACTATGTGCTTAGCTCCCTGGGGTAAAGTGTGATCTGGAATAATGTAAGATAATTTGCATAACTGGCCTAAGGTGCTATACTTAATATTGGGGAGGAAACAACTGCAGTTTTAGTGGGGGGTTATATAAAGAGTGCATGGTTATGTTATGTACTATATATAGGGATTTCCCCTACCTTTTTACAGAGGGTTGGTTATATGTATGGCGGGTACTCTACATGGAAGTTACTTTATTATTTTTTATTACTTTATCAATTTGTTAACTGATACAAGTCAACTTAAGTTGAAGTTAGATTTTATTTTTTTTGCTTGTCAACTCTTACTGAGAGGATGTATTATCTGACGTGCTATCAATTCCAGGAAAAAAAATCATTTTTCATCTTGTCATTTGTTGTTACTATACATTGGTCATTATTACTACCTAAGAAATGTTGGAAAAGATATAGCAGGTATTTTATTTTTTATTTATTTTGCGAATGTATATAACTACTTAAAGGTAAAGATAAAGGTTCCCCTCACACATACATGCTAGTTGTTTCCGGCTCTAGGGAGCAGTAGTCATCTCAGTTACAAAGTCGAAGAGCCAGCACTGTCCGAAGATGTCTCTGTGGTCACCAAGGCGCACGGAACGCTGTTACCTTCCCACCAAAGGTGGTTCCTATTTTTCTACTTGCATTTTTTAACATGCTTTCAAACTGCTAGGATGGCAGAAGCTGGGACAAGGAACGGGAGCTCATTCTGTTATGCGGCGCTAGGGATTCAAACTGCCGACCTTTCTGACCGACAAGCTCAGTGTCTTAGCCACTGAGCCACCGCGACCTTAGATATAACTGCTTATCTACATATACATATCTTATGTTTTCGCGGGTATTTATATGTGTGGTATTCAGCTTTGTTCGGGTATTTTCGGGTATGTATATATAAAACTGCTTATCTACTAATAAAACTCTGGGCAGTGAACAACACCCTCCCCCCCCCAAAAAAAAACATAACACAGGAATTCATTATATCAATGATCAAATTTGTATGAGAAACTAGCTCTTGATTTATCATTCCACTTTCATACTTGACCAGCACAAAAATACACATAAATAAATATTTCTTTGTGAAAGTTGAGAAAAGTTTGGTTGTGGAATTTAGAAATGAAACAAGCAGTTTAGGAAAAAGCTTCCAAAAATGGGTGAGGTGAGGGAAGAAGACCTCAGAGGGGTCTTCTCGGAGCTCCTGGGACTATAGAACAATAATTGATCTATTCTTATAGCTGAGAATGAATTAGGAGGAGTGTTAGGAGAGTGTCTTTAGAGACCTGATCTGTGGTTCAAACAAATAAGGGGGTTCAAAGGAGGCTTCCAATCAAGCTGATTAAGTTTTAATTGGTTAGAGTCTGTGGACATCCATACAGCTTCTGATTGTTTCGGGTGCTGCAGATGTGTTTTTACATAGAATCAGAATTACTCCTGAGTAATTACCATAAGGCTAAGAGAATGACCTTATTGACTGTTTTTAATAAAATCTGAATAAGGATGCCATGCAGCACTTTTGAAAGAAAAAAAAAAGTGTTCCCAGAAGCACAGGGACATCTAGGTAGCATTGGTCTGCAACTCTTGACATCAAATATTTTTCCAGGATTATATTGAAGCAGCAAAGGGAAAAATGCAGCACAGAACATAGACTGGAAAGGATTTCAGGAGTCATCTCGTCCAACCCCCCTGCTCAATACAGGAGATTTTATACCATCTCAATCAAACGGTTGTCCAGTCTTATTCTTGAAAACCTCCAGTGAAGATGGAGTATACACATCTTTGGGGAGGCAAGCTGTTGCATTGATTAATTGTTCTCACTGTCTGGAAAATTCTCTTTAGTTCTAGGTTGGATCTCTTAAATAAGCTTCCACCCATTACTTTTTGTTCATCTGTTGCTTTGGAACAGGGTTCCCCAGCCTCCATTTTGTGGCCTAGTATCGGGCGACATCCCATTCGGAACTGGAGCACGGAAGTGGTGGCCAAGCATATGTGTGCAAATTTGCATTGGTGAATGCTGTGTGCGCATGCGCAAAAGCATTTCCTCTTCCCCACCTCCACCTCCGCCAGGCCGTTGGAAAGGTTGGGGACCGCTGCCTTGCAGAATAAGTCAACCCCCTCTTCTGGAACAGCCTCTCATTTATTGGAAGACAGCCATCATGTCACCTCTAATCATTCCTTTGAATAGACGAGGTCCCTTAACTGTTCCTCGTATAATTTATCCTCCAGACTAAATTATCATCTTCGTTGTTCTTCTCTGCACACTTTCTAGGGTCTCAGCATCTTTTCTGTATTTATTATTGGAGGCCAGAACTGAATGCAGTATTCCCAATGTGGCCTCACCATGAAGTATAAAGCGGTATTATCATTTCTCATGATTTTGGTACTATCCCTCTGTGGAGGCAGCCCAGGATTGCATTGGCTTTTTGGGCAGCTGCAGCACACTACTGGCTCAGACTTAAGTGGTAGAAACCTAGATCTATCGCACAGTTACTACTGTTGATCCAGGTATCTCCTGTTCTATACTTATGCATTTGGTTTTTCCTCCCTACGTGCTGTTCCTTACTTTTTTCACCATTGAATTGCATCTTGTTGGATAGGGCCCTATGTACTCAACTTCTGTCAAGACCCTTCTGAGTCCTGAGTATCGAGTGTTGGCTGCTTGAAGGAGTTGCTGATAGTTCTTCATGGGCACCCCCTTGTGTTTCAAAGCCTTTTTTTGCCTTGAATCTAAAGCTGATAACCTAGGGGGGCTTTGAGGGGAATATAAAGGTGAGGGGGGAGATAAGGATCACAGTGGGGAGGTGATGACAGAAATTGACCAAATAGTACAAGGACTACTGTGGGTTTCCTTTGGAGACTGGGGTCAAATCAGTGGGGTAGACAGATCTCCAGGGATTATAATCTTCAGGGATTATAAATTTCCCACCCTCCATGAAAAATGAAAATATTTTAATTGCAGTCCTATAAGTAATTCTGTGCGGTTAAGCTCCGTTGAGTTCCTTTCCAGTGTTGATCAAACTGTTCCTAGAATATTGCATTCAGCTTGAGGCACCACTATTTAGGGAAGACACTGACAAAGTGGAACATGTCTAGAGAAGAACAGCCAAGCTGATAAAGGGTCCTGGAAGGGAGAACTTCAAAGGAATGGTGAGAGGTGTTGGGTATGTTTAGCCAGGAGAAGGGAAGACTGCAGGAAGTTGAGACCGTGTCTCTGAATATCTGAAAAGCTGTTATGTAGACGATAGGGGATAATTTCTGAAGAGTTGATGCAGAAACACAACAAATAATGTGTTTAAATTAAAAGGAAATAGACTTTGGCTGGATGTCAGGAACAATTGCTTATAATGCAAGTGTTCAGCAATGGATTCCTTCAGTGATGATATCTTTTTCACTGGAGCTGTTTAATCAGAGGCTGGTTAGCCCTCTGTTACTGGTTCTGTAGTGGATTCTTGCATTTTAGAGAGGTTGGGCTGAATCACTGTTTCTCAGCCTTAAAACTTGAAGATGTGTGGATATTAATTCCCAGAATTCCCCAGGCAGCCATCTGGTGCAGAGGAATTCTAGGAACTGAAATCGAATATCTTCAAGTTGCTGAAATGTTGGGTTAGAGATAATCTTGGTACCTTCCATCCCTTCAATTATATTATTTAATAACCTATAATGCAATGGCAGTTGCTTTTCATAGGCATGTACCAGATTGGGCTTGACCCCTGAACACAGGTATAAGGATGCATTTGTAACATGGGGAGAAATTTCTGAATTGATGTTATTGTATTTTGAGAAAGGTAAGTTTTGCTTCATGACAGTGTCATGGAATGGACTTTTCTTGGTCTGATTCAGTTTGCTTTCAGATAATGTTTTGAAATAGAACATGAAAATCCAGAAGAAATTCAATGAGGGGTATACATAGTTACATAGTTCTCATAGTTGGTTGTGTACAGTGATATTAGAAGACTTGTTTTTAGGGTTGTGTTATTGGTCTTTCAGAGTTCTGTGTTGTTCCCTACATTTTCAACTAGCTCAAAATAGCCCTTGGAGTATTCTGAGTTCAGAATTAAACATTCTGTAATCAGATGTATTAATCAAAATACATCAATAAAAAACACAATGAATATGAAAATACATGAAAATAATTCAGCGTGCCAACTGTGTTTCTGGGCAGAGAAAGCTTTGTAACTTGTATTTTATATCCAGTCCATGATCAATGGAGTGGCCTTTGCAAGTGGTTCAAAACTTTAGTTACTTAAATCAAACATCCCTTGCAAGTTTGTGGGTGAATATGCGTATTACATTCAGTGAAAATGCATGATTGATTTTACCTGAACATTCTCTGCTTTGCTTGTCAGTATTTTATAATTTCTTTTTCATTGCTAAACTGCTCTTCCCGCTCTTTTTCTGGACTCCAGAGCAAGCTCCACATGGAAGGTTTCCGCAGCCTGAAAGAAGGAGAAGCAGTTGAATTCACTTTCAAGAAATCCTCTAAAGGTTTGGAGTCCATCCGAGTCACTGGCCCTGGAGGAGTTTTCTGCATTGGCAGCGAAAGGAGACCAAAGGGAAAAAACCTTCAGAAACGCAGGTCGAAAGGAGATAGGTAAGGCTTAGTTTAGGGACTTGTTCAGTGAGTCCGGAAACCTCTTGACTTAAACAACAAAGTTTCAAAGCTTGGAAAAGCAACGGATATTCTGTGTATTGGATGTATAGAAATCAGTTTTGTAAGAGTGGGGTTTTTTTTTGGACTGGAAAAAGAAACAACAATCAACTTAAATTAAGTTTGAATTAAGTTCCACATAACCTTAAAAGATGTATGTTTTTTTCTTTTTTCTTTCTAGCAGTTTGGCATATTATGCAAATGCAGGCATTCTTTATTTATTTCATTTTTTGATTCTGTCTCACCCATATAGTACTCAAGATAGCTAATAACAATAAAACCTTGCTTGGCCTTCTAAAGTTTCCAATAATGTTCATTTTTCACCATCACTGTGAGAGCTAGAAATTTGTTTAATGCTAGTAGGAAGAAATATTGACATCTGACATTCTCAGCAAGATAATGAGAACAATAAGATAATGAGCCAGTTGAATCTAGTGGTTAAGGTCCTGGTTCCTCCTTAACCATGAAAGCTAACTGGGTGATCTCGGGTCAGTTGTTCTCTCCCAGTCCAACTCACCTCACATGGTTGTTGTGAGGAAAATAATGAAGGGGAAGAATCATTAGGTATGCTCATTGTAATCTTGAGTTATTATGAAAATAAAGGTGGTATAAAAATCAAATAAATGAGCAATTTCAGTTGCCCGATGTCTTCTGGCATGATGGGAATGGTAAATAGGCATGTAGGCACGCCAGTGCAGGCCTGGGAGAAGAGATGTTTGTAATGATAGAAAATGCTTGTAGCTTGGGTTTTAGATTTTGGTCGTGGTTTGCTTTCCAAGTTTGTTTTAATTTACTTTCTGAAGGTTTCGTTTCCAGACAAGGTAACATCAGCAGCAGGATTTTCTTGTCCTATTCTCTTTAGCTTATAAATGTCTTGTGTGCTACTGTGGTCAGTTGGCCGTGTGATTGGTTGTTCTCTTGGAGATATATTTAAATTCTGAGCAGCTGATTGGTTCTCTCATTGATTGGTCATTTGAATGGTCTGGTTTCTTAGAGATGTCTTGTTTTAAAGGAATGGCAGACAGTGCTCTGGATGTTTTGCCCTGCCCTCTGGAACCCTTTTCACTTTCAGATCCAGCATGCTAGCAATAGACTTATATTCCATTTCATAATGCTTTACAGCCCTCTCTAAGCAGTTTACAAAGTCAGCATTTTGCCCTCAACAATCTGTGTTCTCATTTTACTGACCTCGGAAGGATGGAAAGCTGAGTCAACCTTGAGCAGTCCAGAATACTGCATTCTAACCACTGCACCACTATGGCTCTAACATATGTGGCTATGCCTACACAAAGATCATCACCTTGCTTTAATTAGTTGCCTTAATTCAGCTGCACCCAATCTAGTGCACTCTGGAGGTGTTTGACTATATGTTCCATCATTCCCAGCCAGTTTTACCCTCCTTTGGTGGAGGCTGGGCCAGCAGTTGTCTCCTTCTTCCACATAAGTTGCTTCCTTTTGGCTTTTTAAGTGAATGGCAGATGCAGATTCCTAGGGCAACAAAGGAAGAGGTCAGAGTTCACACACACACATAATACACACACATACAAATCAGCTGAATAGAAATAGACCAACCCGTTAGCATTCATGTGCTTGCAGGATGGGCTGCGTGAACAGCAGTTCATCCCTTGGGCAACCTAGGAAGAGAGAGAACATCAGGGAGTCTTTCCACAGCAATACATGGAAAAATATATATATCTGATAATACTTGTCCCCAGCCACGTGCCCTCCAGTTATTCTAAAGATCATAATGGCTGTGGGAGTTGCATTCTTAACACATCTGGAAAACACCAGATTATCTTACACCGGCTGTTACAGATCTGGCAATTTGGCATAGCATAACTAAGTGGTTAAATTTAGCCTTTTTGCTAGCAGCTTGCATGAACTCGGCCCACTTGCTCAGGGTTCAAGGTGTGCACACACCCATGAGATGGGGTGATTTGGTAGCTTGATAAGTCTTACTAACTGAAACACAAGCCTTTAGACCACACCCTTGGTTGATTCATGGTCATCTATGCTTCCTGGCTCTCTAATATCTTAAATGGGCACCAGGCTATTTAAGAGAATCCACTTATTCTACTGACATAATACAGTTGGAAGGATGGATGCATGGAATAGTAGTGCTTTTATTGCTGAATTTGCTGAGGAGTGTCCCAACACCTGAAGGCCAACAAAAATCTCTCAGCTGTCTGGTTGTAAAACCAGATATTCTTAACATGTTTTCAAATAAATTTTATATATATATGCAGGTCTTGGCTTGTTTGGGTCTTTTCCCGTGTAAGATTGAGAGCATCTTGGCAACGTTTCGACGAGGTCCCACTCGCAATCTTCAGGCTGGTGCTTTCAGCTTCGTGCTTGTGCGAGCAAAGTGTGATCGGAGCTGCCGTCTCCCTATATATACCTCGTCGAAACGTTGCCAGGATGCTCTCAATTTTACACGGGAAAAGACCAGAACATGCCAAGACCTCTCTCTCTCTCTCTCTCTCTCTCTGTGTGTGTGTGTGTGTGTGTGTATGGTATTCAGCTTTGTTAGGGTATTTTCCCACGTCATTATACTTGTGCTTTTAAAGTTGTAGCAACGTTTTGGCAGAATCTCATCTGCCATCATCAGGTTTCTGTATAGTGTTCGTCTGTGAGTCAGGCTTTCACAGCCATTTCTGTTTTAAATATGGTGCTAGCCTACTGCTGTGTTAGAATGGTTTTTTCTTCATCCTGATTGGTTGGGAGTCTTGGTCTGTGTTTCTTGGTCTTGGAGTTTGCTGTGTTCTGCTTGATTGGTGTTTCTAATATCTTCTGTCTGTTTTGTAGTGTTTTTTGGTCTTGATTGGCTGGCAACATTGTGTTTCCTGTATTGGAGGCGTTTAGTACGGCTTGGCTTCGAGTAAATGGACGGATATCATTTATCATTTATATTATTTATTATTTATCATTGAGGGAGAGGGAGAGAGAGAGAGTGCTATGAGGTTTCCTGGTAAGGCCCTGGCTCAGTAATTACATTGGTTTTGTTTAGGTTTTATTTATATCAGCCAAAGTCATTAGGACTCTGCTGGGTTTAACACTGGATGATATAATTCTCCTTTGTTTTGGCTAGTTTGTGGTAATACAGACAGCGTACAGCTTTCCTGGAATAACCTTCCTGATTTCCCCTCCCATCTTGATTTCTTCTTTTTCCCCAGATGCTACAACTGTGGTGGCCTGGATCATCATGCCAAAGAATGCAAGCTCCCTCCACAGCCTAAGAAATGCCACTTCTGCCAAAGCATCGCCCACATGGTGGCCAACTGCCCAGTCAAAACGCAGCAGTCACCCAGTTCTCAGGGAAAGCCCCCGTACTTCCGAGAGGAGGAAGAAATGCACAGCTCACCCTTTCTTCCTGAAACCAGGGAATGATTTCTGGAAATCTGCCCAGTTGACCGGCTTCAGGGTATCAAGTCAGCCAAAATGGGAGCAGAGAACAGCATTGGCTCCAAGCTATGGGTGAACAAGCACTGGGCAGGAGAGCAGCAACTTTTATCTTTAGCAAAGGCAAAAACTTGAGTGGAAGGGGGAACCCTTTTTCTCCTTTTAGTGGGTGTGGAATCTGAGGAATCCCTTTCTTAAGCAATCTTCAATTTTGTGAAATTGGAAGAAAAAGCCAAAGGTACCTTCATGACTTGGCTTTCTTCACCAATCCAAGTGAAGAACAAGAAAATGCAAAAACAAAAAACTGAAGTTATGGATCTCAGGATGTGTTTGTACTTGAGTTAAGCGTGTCTGTGTTTGTGTGTGTGTGTATATGTCATTTTCACACATTGACAAGATCATTGGAATACAAATAAAATAACTGGCAGGGTCCCTGCTCTAAGACAATCTGAGGCTCAAGGAAGGAAGAGTCTTTTAGGGACACAGGCTCCCCAAACTCCCTACTCCATGCTCTCTTAACCGAAAATAACTGAATCCCCCTCCATTTCCCTATCTGAACTGGGATTTTTGTTGTTGTTAGGAAAAAGTAAGAACCACAAACAGTAGATGTTTATGGGACCTGAAGGAGCATTGGCAGGCTCAGGAGTCTGATTTCTGCCAAAACAAACCTGGAGGATTAGATCTGTTTATCTACTGTGCCATGCAGTGGTATAGCCATGCTTCTTCCTGCATGTGCTTGTTTGGCTAATTCAGATGTTACACACACACACACACACACACACCAAATACCCAGACAACAGACATATAAATTTGAATTGGGCATACATCTGATATTGCCGTGCATGCAACCTTATATATTTTTCATTCACTAAATTGAGGACAAGGGTTCTAAGTTTAAATATGTGTTTACTTTGGCAACCCCAGTCATCAGATAAAAACTGCTGCTCCATTGCCCAGCTTAATTTCTGTAGCTCTGCCTTTAATTTATTTTGTTCCCGCGGACAGCTGGACTTGCCGTGTGAAAAGCGGGAGGGTGGGTGGACCTCTCTGCTCTGAAGCCGTGATGTGAAAAATCTGCACTATGATGTGCGTGAATGACGTATCTTTGGGTTTGTTTGGGGTTATTTTGCTTTTCCTTGGGGGGAAATGTTCCCTTGTTTTAAAAGTATAAATATTCCGTTTTGTATTTTTGTATATTTTAAACTTTTAAGAGGAAAAAAAGGAAGAAAAAAACCCCGACACGATTCTGCAATTTATTCTCAGGTATTTTCACACATCTCAGGGATGGAAGAATCTTGGCAGCTCTGGGGCTGAATGGATCAGCGTTTAACAGCACAAAGAATAAGAAAGCCTCCGTTTTTAAAAATTTTTACAATTTGTGTGTGAGTGCATTGATATTTCTAAATGCTGTATTTTAGTAGATTTCTTCTTTTCCCTTTTTTGGATACAAGTGAAGGTAAAAGGATTTGTGGCACAGTTCAGATGAAAGTGCTCCACATAGAGATACTTCTGTGGGGCTTCCCTCCTTTCCCCCGCAAAGTTGCATAAGCTAAAAGTTTCTCCAAGGACTGGCTTGGACCAACAAGCCAAAGGAAAGGATATCCCACAACTGTGCACAATATTGGTGATGCAATTTGTATCCCAGGATAGTTTTGGTGCCTGATAGGATCTCCTTCTCTGTTCTACCTATCCTTAAGCCTTTTGATTCATTGACCATTTCTGCATCTCATCTCAAGCAGAATTTCTTGGTCATGCATTATTAGAGTCCAGACCCATATTATCCTTTACCTGTCAGTTTTGTGTAATGTTCAGGCATTACAGAGAATCTGTAAACTTGGTCAGAAAACCTTGATCCCTCTTGAAAGTAGAGAAATGTACTCGCTGTGTCAGGCATATCAGCAGACACTCCCACTCATCCAGGTCAGGATGTCTTATATTCCAAGCCCCATGAAGTATTTGAGATAGACAAAAAAAAAAATCCCTCTCTCCTTTCCATATTTTTATCAGAAAAAGAAAAGAGAAATTATATTTCATTTGCTACCTTCTCACTCTGCCCCAAACCCACAGATCAAGGATGTCACCTCACTCTGCTGAATGGTAGGACTTGCCTACTGGATTTGATATTTCAAGCAGGAAGGGATCTGCAAAGATGGAGAGTTAGGTTGGTTAGGCAGCAAGTGAAAGCATGTAACACTGCAGATGTTGATAAATCATGGCTGTATTAGCTGTGCTGGCTGGGATGCTGAATTGTAATTTGGAGCACCCAAGTTCCTAGGTTTCTTCTCTGCTCTTCTTAGGAAATTGTGTAGGATCTGCTGTTTGATATCAAAGTAACCAGCTTTCTAGCAGCTGCTAAGGGGTGAATTTAGCATGCAGCACTCTTAAAAACATCTAAGTGGAACAGAGAAAACTAAATGTGTTTTGGGGGCTTACAGAACTGAGCAATACAATTCAAGAGATGCTGAACAACGTAAAACTTCCATGTAATTCCTCCTCTGACTCACCCATCACAGAAATAGTGGCAGTGACATGGTGAGAAATATGCAGCTGGTTAATTTTGATACGTTGCTGTGAAGAAACTACCGTATCTACCTCAGGATAATTTTTCATGACAATAGGTGTCAAATACAATAGAACCCATTATGTAAGTTACTTTGCTCTAGATTGGTCAAAGAATGAATGCTTCCCTAGGCTGTGCCCAAAATTTAGATTGTGGCACCTTGTAGTTTTCTATCTGCTTTTTATTAAGAAGAAGAAAAAGGATAAGTGACACTGTTCCTCTTTCTAGGTGTTTAGTCTGTGTAAATATCTCATGTAAAGTTGTCTGATTTCTTCCCAATTTCTTCTTGGATTATTGTTTACAAATTTAAGAAAAATAGCCAAAGCAGGGGGTGGTATTTGCACCAGAGATACGGGGATAGGATTCCCTCTTTGTACTTTATTGTAATTTGCCAAGTGAGAGCTGGTGAAGTCCCCTCTCCCCATCTCTCTTGTAACTGAGATCATTGGATTTCTGTATAACGGTGATTTATCTGTAAGAGCATTGAATGGAAAGGAAAATCATGTTTTGGAACTCATTGTAGTGAGGTTGGGTAGCATCAGCAGTAGCTTTTCATCGCTCTGTTTTCAAAAATGGGAAGGGGTGAGATTTTGGACATTTTGAAAGAAATGTCTTAAAAGTCCTTTGGCTTGGTCTTACAAATAAATTGCTGTCTGGCACAAGGAATGAGACTACAATTTGGAAAGTGGTGGACACTATGCATAAAGAGTAAATGGTGTGAATGGCAGGCAGGGTAAAGCCATGTCCGCACTCAGGGTCATTGTGGTGTGGGGGAATTTGAATGTACTGGGGTTTGGGTGGGTGGGTGGGTAACCATTTCTTGCATGGCTCCATGTTTGTGTCCTGCGAGACAAAACGAATGTAACTCCATGTTTACTGCTAGTAACCAAAGCTTGTTTTGTGTTAAACTCTTGAATTTTAATTAAGTGGATAGGTGGGTGGGAGGGAAGGGGGGGTGGCAATAACATGGCAATTGTTGGGTTCTTTTTGGGGGTGGGGGGGGGAATGTCTTGGCTGCAGGACTTTGTCCAAATAAGCAGCTTTCCTGCTGATTTATGTCTTGCAGTGACATTGGAAATCCCCAACACTGCATCTTTCTCTCCCCGTTCCCAGTTTTATACCAGTTATGGAAAATGTTGGAAATAAATAAAGTTGATGGATAACAATGTGCTTTGCATCTCTTCTTTTCAGCAAACAAAATCTTCCTATCTTTCTTCAAGACAATGGGTCTTGTTTATAAGGCATACTTAAATGGATAAGCTGGGATGGGAAGCTAAACATCTTGTGTGAATTCCAAAGTTAATTAATTTAGAAAATTTATATATATGCCCAGTCATCATGTATAGCCCACAACCAATCGCAAAATATGTGTTTTAAAAACAAAACAAAACCATAAGCATAATTACATCAACCAAGGCATCATAAAAGAATGCAATGTAAAAATTATTAAAGGACTTTTAGTTGCAATCAATCTCCGATCATTAGGGAATTCAATGAACTTCTATATTCTCAGTTAACATCTGAGAATATTAACTGACAAAAATCCTTATGACATTTAAAGGCAGCAAAATATAGAAAGCCTTTCACTTGGCAGCCATCTAGGACTCCTTCTTTGATAAGTATAGACTTCAGCTCCCAGAATTCCACAGCCATGTAACTTAGGAGATAAACTCCCAGCCTTTGCAGCTCTGAAGGACTTAACAAAATGGCTGCCAGGCTCACCTGAGATTGCTTGATGTTAGCATAGTGATAGCGAACATTTTGGGCTTAGCATGTCAAAAGTTCAGAAAATGCCTAGCTTGACTGCTCCTTCCCCCTCCCTCCCTCCCCCCCTTTCTCTCTCTCACACACACACTACACTGAACAAAAAAAATTGTCTACTCCCCCACCCCAATAAAAATAAAAATCTAGGCCACCCTGAACAGCTGCACTTGGGCTGGCCCTAAAATAGAGGATCTGTTTTGCTCTAAATCCCAGTGTGGGCTGCTGTAAAAGAAAGGAGGATGTCCTTAGCAGAGATAGGCTAGATCTACCGAAATGACATGGGGGGGAAACATGGCTTAATTCCAAAGCAAGAAGGCATGCACAAGCAACTCAAGACACCTCCCTAATTTACATGAGTGTAAGGGTGAGGGTGGGGATGAAATTAAAGCACAGTTGAACTTGCAAAATTCTGTTCCTGTAGCTAATAACACTGTAGTAACTTTTGAGCCTTCCTTTGAAGTGGATTTCATAAATTGATCTATGTAATGAAGTGACAGCAGCAAAAAAATAGCTCTAGATGCATGCAATGATCAGTGAGGCAGTAGAGCCTTTATTTGCTCTAGGTATTCAGCTTCCTCCTGCAACTGTTGTTCCTTGAACCCATAAGCTTTTCCCTTTGATTTTATCAGTATGTAACTGTAGACCCCTTTCCTATTCTCGTTTG